GGCGGGTCGGGAGGCAAGGGAGGTATAGGGAACAAGGGTGTCCACTGGTTGAGAATTGGGTCATGGAATGTAGGTACATTGACGGGTAAGTCTATAGAGTTGGTAAAGATCCTCCAGAAGAGGAGGATCAATATAGCGTGTGTCCAAGAGACAAGGTGGGTAGGGTCGAGGGCGAGGGATACGGACAGGTATAAACTTTGGTACTCAGGAGTCCAGAAGGGTAAGAATAGAGTTGGTATCTTGGTGGATAGGGAACTTAGAGAGTCTGTGGTTGAGGTTAGACGAGTGAATGATAGACTGATGATTATTAAGTTGGTGGTTGGAGAGTGCACTCTAAACGTCGTTAGCGCCTATACGTCGCATGCGGGCTTAGATGAGGAGGTTAAACGACATTTCTGGGAGGGATTAGATGAGATTGTGCGCCAGATTCCACCTGCTGAGAAGCTATTCACAGAAGGGGATTTAAATGGTCATATTGGGTCGACCCCAGGTGGTTATGGTGAGGTGCATGGAGGCTTCGGTTTTGGGGAGAGGAACGGAGGAGGTACCTCGTTGTTAGACTTCGCCAAGGCTTTTGGGTTGGTGATTGCGAACTTTACCTTTCCGAAGAGGGAGGAGCATTTGGTTATTTTTTAAAATCGGTGGCGAAGACTCACATTGACTATCTCCTCCTCAAAAGGTATGACAGAGGGTTGTGCAGGGATTGCAAGGTGATTTCAGGTGAGATACTCGCGATGCAGCATATGCTCTCGGTGATGGACGTTGGTATTATGTTGAGGAGGAGGAAAAGGTCTGCTCAAGGAAGACCAAGAATCAGGTGGGGAGTCTTGACTAAGGATAAAGCCCAAGAGTTGGAGGGGCGGTTGTCGGCTATGGGAGCTTGGAGGAGCAATGGTGACGCGAGTACTATGTGGTCAACAATAATAGACTGTATAAGGGAGGCTGTGAGAGAGGTGTTAGGGGTCTCGACTGGAGTCGCTGGCGGGCACAAAGGAGACTGGTGGTAGAATGAAGTGGTCTAGGGTAAAGTGAAAGCGAAGAAGGCGGCGTACCTGAAGTTAGTGGGGAACATAGGTGAGGAGGAGAGGCATGCGTGCATGGAGAGGTATAAGGTAGCTAGGAAGGAAGCTAAGCTGGCGGTCACGGAGGCTAAGACTGCAGCTTATGGTCGTATGTACGAGGAACTGGGGGAAAAAGGCGGGGAGAAAAAGTTATTCTGGCTGGCCAAGATGAGAGAGAGGAAGGCTCGGGATTTGGACCAAGTGAGATACATCAAGGACGGCGATGGTAGAGTATTGATGGAAGATTCCCAGATTAAGAAGAGATGTCAGACTTACTTTCATAAACTTCTGAATGAAGAAGGGGATCGGGATATCGTGCTAGGTGAATTGGAGCATTTCGAGAGTCACCGTGACTTTGGATACTGCAGGCGAATTAAAGTTAAGGAGGTCGTAAGAGCTATGAGTAAGATGAGTAGGGGCAGAGCGACAGGGCCTGACGAGATTCCGATGTAATTTTGAAAGTGTTTGGGGAGAGCAAGTTTGGAGTGGTTGACTGGGTTGTTCAATGTTATTTTTAAGGCGAAGAGGATGCCGGATGAGTGGAGGTGGAGTACGGTGGTTCCATTGTATAAGAACAAAGGTGATATCCAGAGTTATAACAATTATAAGGGTATCAAATTACTGAGTCATACCATGAAAATGTGGGAGAGGGTAGTTGAAGTGAGAGTGAGGATGTCAGTATCTATTTTCGACAACCAGTTCGGGTTCATGCCGGGTCATTGTACTACAGAAGCTATACACTTTGTTAGGCGGTTGGTGGAACAGTACAGAGATAGGAAGAAAGACTTGCACATGGTTTTTATTGACCTAGAGAAAGCATATGACAAGGTTAATAGAGAAGTTCTCTAGAGATGCTTGGAGGCAAAAAGTGTGCCAGTTCCTTACATTATGCCGATTAAGGACATGTATGATGGGGCTAAGACATGGGTAAGGACGGTAGGAGGAAACTATGAGCATTTTCCAGTTGTTATGGGGCTACACCAAGGCTCTGCACTCAGTCCGTTCCTATTCGCCCTGATGTTGGATGCGTTAACACACCATATTCAAGGAGAGGTACCATGGTGCATGTTATTCGCCGATGACATAGTTCTGATTGATGAAACGTGAGCCGGTGTTAACGAAAGGTTGGAGGTTTGGAGACATGCTCTTGAGTCTAAGGGTTTCAAGTTGAGTAGGACGAAGACGGAATACTTGGAGTGTAAGTTCAGCGCTGAGCTGGGGGAAGTGGGCGTGGTTGTGAGGCTTTACTCACAGGTCATCCCAAGTAGAGACAGCTTCAAGTACCTTGGGTCGGTTATCTAGGGGGGGGGGAAGATCGACGAGGATGTCACACACCGTATTGGGGTAGGATGGATGAAGTGGAGGTTAGCATCTGGAGTCCTGTGTGACAAGAGAGTGCCACCGATACTCAAAGGTAAGTTCTATAAAGCGGTGGTTAGACCGACCATGATGTACGGGGCTTAGTGTTGGGCTGTTAAGAACTCACATATCCAGAATATGAAAGTTGCAGAAATGAGGATGTTGAGGTGGATATGCGGGCACACTAGGATGGATAAGATCAGGAATGGTGATATTCGGGAGAAGGTGCACGTGACTCCCATTGATGACAAGATGCGGGAAGCGAGGCTCAGATGGTTCGGACATGTACAGAGGAGGAGCCCAGATACCCCGGTAAGGAGGTGTGAGTGGGTGGTTGTGGAGGGCACGAGAAGAGGTAGAGGGCGGACGAAGAAGTATTGGGGAGAGATGAGCAGGCAGGACATGGCGAGGCTTCAGATTTCCGAGGACATGGCACCTGATAGGAAGTTGTGGAGGTCGAGTATTAGGGTTGTAGGTTAGGAGGTAGTTGGGTCTTGCCTTACTTCGTACCATTGTGAGATTAGTCTGGTAGGGTTTTTGTCTAAGCTAACTAATGGCAATGTCGTGTCTTACTATTTTACGTTTCAGTGCCGGACCTATTTACTAGCTATCGTTTTTGCTTTGCATCTTTCTTTTGGATTTCATATTGTTCCTATTTTTCCTATGATTTCTGTGGTAATACTGATATTGTCTCCTTTTGTCTTTTTGTGCTCTTGAGCCGATGGTCATTCGGAAACAACTTCTCTACCTCTTCGGGGTAGGGGTAAGGTTTGCGTACACACTACCCTCCCGAGACCCCACTAGTGAGATTTCACTGGGTTGTTGTTGTTGTTGTTGCTCTTAACTATTGCCAGAATTTTAAAGCACAAAAAATAGTAAGGATATGTGGCAAAAATATAAAATATTATCTAGCGTGCTATAAAATTCTAGCGTTGAGTGTTTTTGAACTTCTATTACCGAGATCAAAAAATCAATAATTGTACTAAAATATCCCTAACGCTTTCGTCAGACTAGGATTAAAATACTAACCGAATTATTTGTACCGACCTTATCTTGATCTACATATGTTGACACCTTTACCGAAAGATATATTTTTTCTTCAAAAAAAGAAAAGAAAAGAAAAGAAAAGAAGGAAAACAGAAAAAGATTAGTTGTGGGCCTATTGGACAATTATTTTTGTTGGGCCAATGCGTAGTTGTATACACATGTATTTGACCTTGACTTAGTCTGCCTTTAATGGTTAGATTTTCAAAGGCATTAGCTATTTGATTTCTGATTTGATTTTTTCTAATAGTATTCTCTCCAGTCTCCTCTACGTAATGATATTGTCAAAATTTTCCAATGAAGCAACTTTACTATTACATCGTTCGATATAGGGCATTGAAGAAAAATAAAAAAATAAACTAATTATTCTTTATTTTTTGTATTTCTTATATTTTTAACCAAACCAGGTAATAAAAAATGGATTTTCTTCTATATCTAATGGGAAAAAGTTGACGATGGAGACAATATTTTGAAAATGAATATAAAATATACTTGCTGGTATTAAGTTGGTGAAAAATAGATAGGCCTTTTCTTTCGGGCTATAAATGGTTTCAGTTGGGCTTTAAATGGCTTATGTTGGGCTTTAATGGGGGCAAAGTGCACCAATAGCCATTCTTTGGGCCGTTGTTTTAGTTTTAAGGGAATTTGGCATAACATAACAACTAGGTCCAACAATTAGCATAAAAAAACCTACGTTTTAGAATTTGACATATGGTAGCCTAAAGTTATTCTCTCTCTTCTAATGGTTCAACCACCATTCTAAAAAAAATTCTATCAAAATTATTTTCCTTAAAAATAGCAAAAGATATTTAAAACCCCCTCTCTCTTCTCTCATAGCAACTACCATCCTAGAAATTAGGTTCCATTTCCTTCAATAGTATTTGAGAAATCTCCCATTTTTTTAAAATTATTTTTCTATTTTTTTGTATGTATATCCAAATATATATAATACAATAATAATTATATTTTTGTATATCACAGTATATAACATAATAATAATATGTATATCAAAATTTTATTTTCCTTCTTTCTATAACACATTTCAGATTGAAAACTCAAGTTTTAATATGACTCCACACGTGTATCCCCCATTTGTATCCCGTGTATATCTCCATGTACATTAGTGATATCTCATGTATATCATGTGTATCTGTGTATATTCATGAAAATATGTGTTATATACACGATATAAAATATAATATATACAAGCATCCATAAAAGATTTGTGTTATATACACGATATATAAAGTGATATACACAGACATCCACAAAGACCTATGTGTAATATAAACCGATGTACATAATATACAAGGTGATATACACATGTGCACAGTTGGATTTTAGGTCAAATTCTTTACTTGAAACCAGTCTAAATTACTTCTAATCTTGCTCAAATTTTATATATAGTCTCATCTAATTATTTTCGACCAATTAAAATCACATCCCACTCGTTCAATCCAACAAAAAAAGAAGAGAAAAAGAATAAAGTTGAACTCTATTTTTTCCTATTTTTCTTTCTTAGTTTTTGCTTATGATTTTCTCTAATTTGTGAGATCAACCTTACCTTTTCATCCCACTGATTATTTTTTGCATAATTTGCAATAATTTTCGCTAAACCATGAGAGAAAAAGAGGAGAGATAGAAGAAGAGGATTGTGTGTTATATAGAGAGAGAATAAATAGGAAGTAGGTTTTTAAAATTTGTCTATACAATGCCAATTTTTTTGGGGCTGCTTTTGCAAAATAATTTATGGCCAATAATTTACCAATTCGTCTTGTATGTTGTTACCCAATGTCGATTTCCCAAGTTTTAGCCTAAATTTCCAAATTATGTAAGGTTTAACCAACATCAACGAGTATTTTCATCTTGTAACCAAGCATGACTCTCAGATCATATAAGCTCTTTCACGTTATTCTTATAGGAGTACCAATTGAACTTTTTGAACTGTGGAATTCAAGCTTAAGGACATAATTTCATGAACATATGCATCATTTTAGTGATCAAATCGTAAGAAAATTACATCAAATTAGTCTGCTATTTCTACTTCTTTCTTATTCACCTTATTCTTTCTTCTTCCCCAATGGTCGAAGTTGGAACCGCAACAATTAAACTTCAAGAAACAAACTTGAAATTTGAAATGAAAAACTGCACTTAGGATATAAAACTGATATCTTTGAAGTTTGAACTGAAAAAAAGAAATTTAACTTAACTGGTCATGTAACCTACTTCTCTAATTTAAGACCAAAACATTAGCAGCCCAATCAACTTTATCCAATTTGTCGCCTAAAGTTTACACTGTCCTTTGTTTCATTTCCTTGGTCCAAGTTCTGTGCCCCATTTTGCTAGAGAAGTCTTGCAAGTTGCAAATGAGACCGTATATTTAATATTTACTTTTCTAGCCGATATATATAGATTACACATTGATTATATAAAGTTATACGTATATTATACATCCGCTATTTTTAGTTCAAGAGATTATATGGGTAACTATTTGGATTACTTCTAAAATGTCCTGTACGATGTAATCTATTTTTTTCCAAAGGAATTTAAGTAAATATACACGTAAGTTACCTTGTGATAGTATATTAGTTAGCATTTTTATCAAGTTATCAAATGATATTTATCATACGTAGTTACATGTAATTATCATATATGTGAAATAACTGTGTAAATATTTTTACACCATTATACCGTATACATAATGGATTTTCCCTTCTCCTTCTCTACTAAAGTCTCATTGCTCATAATAATTTTTTTTTTAAATCACATAAAATAAGTTAATCTTTATTTATTTTAGATGTGAATTTTAGATAATAGAAGCCTAAAACTACAATTGTGTAAAAGTGTCTGTCTAAGAAAAACAAATGTGTAAAAGCTTTTAAATTATGTGCTAGAGTCCTTGTATTATTGTTGTCGTTGAATGTGAAGGTGTGATAAACTGATAATTACATGACTTCAAAGATTTGAAATAATTGACTTTAACATAGGAATTGTTCTTGGAAGAGAAACCACATCACATGCAAAATCAACTACAAATTAATACACC